ACCCTGGGACAAGGTGCCAACCCCAGCGAGCTGCCCTGCTGCTTTGCGTCTGAGCATCCAAGGGACAAGCGGGGACAGGTCCCCCCCTTAGCAGCCTGGTGATCTCCCAGGATGCAGGGACCAGGACCGTGGGCTCAGGGAGGGTTGCTCAGAGCAGGGCAGTGCCCCTAGGACCCTGGCAGAGGGGGGCTGTGCAGCGGTGCCCAGGACAGAGGCAGCCCGGTGAGCTCAGAGCCACCAACTGCAGCTGCTGTTGTTCTCCCTGTCCCAGACAATGGCCCAATGTCCCACGCCACGGGGCCTTGTGTTGGCCCTGGCACACGCACAGGATCCCATTGTGTCCCTGCTGTGGCACAGTGCTCACCCCCTCCCATCAGCTACACCAGGGGAGTTCCCTCCCAGCAGACAGGGGCATCTCCTAGGACCAGGAGATGTTGGAAAGGTCAAATCCTTTCATCCCCACCCAGCACCAGCGAGGAGAGCCTGGCTGGTGCTCCCAGGCTCTCCACCAACTCAAGGAAGAGCTCCAGGGCTCCTCCTGGTCCTTCACCCCATCACAGCTTGGCTCCATCAGCAGGGTCAGGGAAGGAAGAGACCCTCCGTGCTGGCAGAGCCCTGCTGGCACCAGGGACTGAGCTGTGAGAAGCTGGCAATGTGATGGGAGCAACCCACCCTGCTCACTGTGCCAGATGCAGCCCCTCTCTCCACTCTCACTGGGTCTCCAGGGGCCACAGCAGCCCCACGGGGCAACCCCAGCCTGTGGGAGCAGGGAAAGTCAGTCCTGCCCGACCATCCCCTTCCCTTCCTCCCTGGCTGGCAGGGAGCAGGGGTACTGCAGGGAGGAGAGTGGTGTCTTGGCAGATCCAGCCCTTGGCAGGAACTGGGCTGGCTGGAGGGTCCCAGCCCGGAGCCAGATCCGGCCAGCAGGAGCTCTCCTGCTTCCTCCCCCCCCAGGCAGCCCCGCGGCTGCTGAGACATGGGGCAGGGAACCAGCCCCCGGGCAGGACTTCAGCCGGGCAG